ATGTCATTTTTTCCTACTACTATGATGATTTTTTTAACATACTATTCTGTGTCATTTTTTTTTTTACTAAACTATATCATTTTAATCATACAATAATATTATATTTTTTATTATACTTTACAATGATTTTATTTAACATTATATGTTATGGATATCTTTTCATACTACACAATGACAATTCTGACACACATTTTTATCATACAATACAATGTCATTCTTAACATACTATACTATGACATTTTTAACATACTGAACTGATATTTATACATACAATACTTTGATATATTGATTATTTTTAACAAGTATTGTTTCCATTTATTACATAATATTTTTATCATACTTTTATATGACAATTGTTAACATATAATACTGACACTCTATCCTTCTGTACAATGACATTTTATCCTACTATACTAAGATATTTTTTGTCAGGGTTTAATTTTTTTTATCACAGTATATCTTGATTTTTTATCATTTTGTCACACAATACTATGACATTCTTTTATCATACAATGATATGAGATTTTAAACATACCTATCTTTGACATTTTCATCATACTACACTATGACATTTTATAACATATGCGATGATATGATTCAAATCAATCAATCAAATTTTATTTATATAGTGCCAATTCACAACAGTCGTCATCTCAAGTCATCATATTATTTTATCATACTATAAGATTTTTATCATACTTATCTAAGCCTTTTTTACTACATTATGACATTTTGTAACATACTATACTTTGGTATTTTTTATCGTGTTACACTTTGACATTTTTTAAAATACCATTCTTTGACATTATTACATACTTTAATATGACATTTTTTTCTTCCTACTCAATGCCTTTTCTATCATACTAAGCTTTAAAATATTAATCATACTTTATTGTGACATGTTTAACATATAATGCTTTTACATTTTTATCTCACTACACTATGATATTTCTTACCAAACTATCCTTTTTTTTAACTCTTTAATATGATATTTTCTTCAAAATAAACTTTTTTTAATGCTATATCCTACTGTACAATGACGTGTGTGTGTGTGTGTGTGTGTGTGTGTGTGTGTGTGTGTGTGTGTGTGTGTGTGTGTGTGTGTGTGTAAAGACTTGCTCGCACACTCAACTGTTGTACAATGGTTCCACCCCCACCAGATTTTAGTCATTTGATAATCGTCCAGCATCGGACAATTTGACACCAAACCAGGCAGCGTGACAGAGCGTGCTCCACTGGTGAGGCGGTCCACAGAGGTGGCGGTGCGACACAGCTCAGGCCTGTTGGTGTACTGCAGGGCGCTAGTTGTATTTAATGGAATCCGCACACGTACGGATCATTCCCCTAAGTTTATGATGACTGACAGCACAGGTGCTTTTATGGTGAAATCAGACGCCTCACAGGTCTGTCGTCTTTGAGCTGATCACCCACATCCTGAGCAGGTCCTTTTAAAACATGGACCAGAGGAAAGAGGTCGACTCTTTACTTCGAGGACCGCGGTCACAGATGTTTGATGTTCAGGTTTTAGTGTCCTATGTCCAAGGATAATGGTTTTATAGTCATAGGTTATGATAATGTTTGAATGCAGTTGAATCAAAGATAATGTTATATTTTTACTCAGATTGGTTCTGATAATCAAAGATAATGTTATATTTTTACACAGATTGGTTTTGATAATCAAAGATAATGTTATATTTTTACACAGATTGGTTTTGATAATCAAAGATAATGTTATATTTTTACTCAGATTGGTTTTGATAATCAAAGATAATGTTATATTTTTACACAGATTGGTTTTGATAATCAAAGATAATGTTATATTTTTACACAGATTGGTTTTGATAATCAAAGATAATGTTATATTTTTACACAGATTGGTTTTGATAATCAAAGATAATGTTATATTTTTACACAGACTGGTTTTGATAATCAAAGATAATGTTATATTTTTACACAGACTGGTTTTGATAATCAAAGATAATGTTATATTTTTACACAGACTGGTTTTGATAATCAAAGATAATGTTATATTTTTACACAGATTGGTTTTGATAATCAAAGATAATGTTATATTTTTACACAGATTGGTTTTGATAATCAAAGATAATGTTATATTTTTACACAGATTGGTTCTGATAATCAAAGATAATGTTATATTTTTACTCAGATTGGTTTTGATAATCAAAGATAATGTTATATTTTTACACAGATTGGTTCTGATAATCAAAGATAATGTTATATTTTTACTCAGATTGGTTTTGATAATCAAAGATAATGTTATATTTTTACACAGATTGGTTCTGATAATCAAAGATAATGTTATATTTTTACACAGACTGGTTCTGATAATCAAAGATAATGTCACTTTGTCTCCTTTTTTCTTCTCTTTTAGGCTCTGTCAGCCAGTCCCATGGATGTCTTTTACGCTTCTACTGACGCCACTCTGGTTGGAACACTTTTTAAAAACCTCACTGGGTCTTAAACTGTTTTTTTTTACCTGGTTGTAGTTTTTGTACTGGTCTTGTTACTGTCGTATCTTGTCTGATGTTAAAGTGTAAAAGGTTCTTTTACAGTTTTAGTTCTGGTCCCACAAACACAAAGATCGTCTTTAATCTACTTCAGCTCACACTGATGATGTCTTACTGGTCTGACCCCACATGGACCAGTTTTTAGGAGGACACTGTGTGTGTGTGTGTGTGTGTGTGTGTGTGTGTGTGTGTGTAGGTGGAGGATCAGCCTGTCTATGAAAACAACTTGTATGCGTACCTGTACTTTGTCGTCTTCATGATCGCAAATTTCTTCATCTTCAACTTCATCGTCAGAGCGACCGTGGACTCTCTGCGAAAAGACAAGATAAGTATAAACAACCGACGAACGAGGGAGAGAGAGAGAGAGAGGGAGAGAGAGAGGGAGGGAGAGAGAGGGGAGAGAGGGAGGGAGAGGGGAGAGAGGAGAGAGGGGGAGAGAGAGGGGGAGAGGGGGGGAGAGAGAGGGGAGAGAGAGAGAGAGAGGGAGAGAGGGAGAGAGGGGGGAGAGAGGGAGGGAGAGGGGAGAGAGAGGGGAGAGGGGGGAGAGAGGGGGAGAGGGAGGGAGAGGGGAGAGAGAGAGAGAGAGGGGGGGGAGAGGGGGGAGAGAGAGAGGGAGAGGGAGGGAGAGGGAGAGGGACAGGGGAGAGAGGGAGGGAGAGAGGGAGGGAGAGGGGAGAGAGGGAGGGGGAGGGAAGGACAGTCTTAACCTTTTCGTCTCTTTGTCTCTTCACTCTGAAGGTAAATGTCTCTTTGTCTCTTCACTCTGAAGGTAAATGTCTCTTTGTCTCTTCACTCTGAAGGTAAATGTCTCTTTGTCTCTTTGTATCTTCACTCTGAAGGTAAATGTCTCTTTGTCTCTTCACTCTGAAAGTAAATGTCTCTTTGTCTCTTTGTCTCTTCACTCTGAAGGTAAATGTCTCTTTGTGTCTTCACTCTGAAAGTAAATGTCTCTTTGTCTCTTTGTCTCTTCACTCTGAAGGTAAATGTCTTTTCGTCACGGAGGTCCAGATGAAACTGATCAAAGACCTGAAGACCCGACTCAGTCGCTCAGTTCAGACCTCGGGTCTTCGTCCTCAGGTAGAGACACAACTGGACTTTTAGGACAAAATGAACTTTGGGACATCACAAACCCAACTCTGGTTCCTGGTTCTGATCTCTGGTTCTGTTTTCTGGTTCTGGTCTTTTTCTTCATCAGAGCTCGTGCCGAGCTCGGCTCTTTGACCTGGTGACCAGCTCGTGGTTCGCGGTCGTCATGGTGACAGTGATCTGCCTGAACATGGTGGTTCTGATGATAGAGTCCTATGATCAGAGCATGGAGATGGAAGAAGTTCTGTACTGGTTCCACTTCTCCCTCTTCATCATCTTCTTCATCGAGTTCATCCTGAAGGTCGGCGCTCTCGGACGCCCTTACTTCACCTCCGGCTGGAACATCCTGGACTTTGTGGTTCTCCTGATGAGCTTCATTGGTGGGTCGACCTTCAGTGACGTCATGTGTGGTGTGTGTGTATATCATGTGTGTATTTTGGCGTTCTCAGGTGTGTGTGTATGTTGTGTGTATTTTGGCGTTCTCAGGTGTGTATGTTGTGTGTATTTTGGCGTTCTCAGGTGTGTGTATGTTGTGTGTATTTTGGCGTTCTCAGGTGTGTATGTTGCGTGTATTTTGGCGTTCTCAGGTGTGTGTATGTTGTGTGTATTTTGGCGTTCTCAGGTGTGTGTGTATGTTGTGTGTATTTTGTTCTGAGGTGTGTGTATGTTGTGTGTATTTTGGCGTTCTCAGGTGTGTATGTTGTGTGTATTGTGGCGTTCTCAGGTGTGTGTATGTTGTGTGTATTTTGGCGTTCTCAGGTGTGTGTATGTTGTGTGTATTTTGGCGTTCTCAGGTGTGTATGTTGTGTGTATTTTGGCGTTCTCAGGTGTGTGTATGTTGCGTGTATTTTGGCGTTCTCAGGTGTGTTTCTCTTCTCGTCTCCTCAGGTATCTTCATCGCTGACCTCGTTGAAAAATACTTCGTGGCGCCCCATGTGTTTCCTATCTTCCGATTGGCTCGTGTCGCCCAGGTCATCCATCTCCTTCCCTGGTGTGATGGGATCAGGAAACTGCTCTGGGCCTTTGTGATGTCACTTCCTGCCGTCTGTAACATCAGCGTGATTTTCTGCGTTCTCACGTTCAGCTTTTCCATCTTCGCCATGTTTAATTTCGCCCTCCTGAAAAAAATGGCGATAGTTGACGACATGTATAACTTTGAGACGTTTCGAAACAGTCTCACCTGCCTGATTTTGACCAGCTACTCCTCTGATTGGTTCGGTCTGCTCCTGCCCTTATTGGCCACGCCCCCTGACTGTGACCCTTTCATAGAGAGCCCCGGACTGATGACCACAGGTGACTGTGGGAACCCAGGAATGGGCGTGGCCTTCTTCACCACCTTCATCATCCTGTCTTCTCTGCTGCTGCTTTACTTGAACATCGCCGTCATTCTGGAGACCTTCGACTCTGAAGAACACCTGAGCGACCACGACCTGGACATGTTTTACAACACCTGGAGGACGTTCGACCGCGACGCGTCACGATCTATACAGTACAGGTGAGTCCAGATACAGGTGAGTCCAGATACAGGACAGGTGAGTCCAGATACAGGTGAGTCCAGATACAGGACAGGTGAGTCCAGATACAGGTGAGTCCAGATACAGGTGAGTCCAGATACAGGACAGGTGAGTCCAGATACAGGTGAGTCCAGATACAGGTGAGTCCAGAGACCTGACAGTACCTGATGGACTCTGGTATTTTGGACTCATTTGGTTTTGTGAACTCGAGGACGTCTTTGGTGGTTTGTGGACTCAGACAGACTCTAATAAAGTCCAGAGGACTGTTGTGGACGTCGATGTTTCTCTGCTAGTTTGAATAATTCACTTTAACATGTTTTTTCTGTCCTCTAACTGTCCTCTAACTGTCCTCTGATTGTCCTCTTACTGTCCTCTGATTGTCCTCTGACTGTCCTCTGACTGTCCTCTGACTGTCCTCTGACTGTCCTCTGACTGTCCTCTAACTGTCCTCTTACTGTCCTCTGACTGTCCTCTGACTGTCCTCTAACTGTCCTCTAACTGTCCTCTTACTGTCCTCTGATTGTCCTCTGACTGTCCTCTAACTGTCCTCTGATTGTCCTCTGACTGTCCTCTAACTGTCCTCTGATTGTCCTCTGACTGTCCTCTAACTGTCCTCTAACTGTCCTCTTACTGTCCTCTGACTGTCCTCTGACTGTCCTCTTATTGTCCTCCAACTCTTCTATGGATGTACTCTGATTGTCCTCTAACTGTCCTCTTACTGTCCTCTGACTGTCCTCTTACTGTCCTCTGATTGTCCTCTGACTGTCCTTCAGTGAGCTGTCGGATTTCTGCAGTTCTTTGAAGGACCCTCTAAGGATTCCCAAACCAAACTCCATCAGACTGACCCACATGGATCTGCCTCTGCTGCCAGGAGACAAGATCTGTTGTGAGGACATCCTGGTGTCTCTGTCCTCACAGGTAACTCCACCTTATCAGTAAAAAAACCACGTTATTCATATTAATATTAAATTATTTTTAATTAATATTCAAAATGATTCTCTTGTATGAGTTCAACTTCTCTTTATGTTGATTAAAAGAAAAATTCATGAGACGTTACAAATATTCACAGAAGAACCTTCGTAATACTTTGTCTTCTTCTACTACTACTACTACTACTTATGATAATAATAATAATAATAATAATAATAATAATAATAATAATAATAACAATAACAATAATAATGAACTCTGCAGGTGTTTGGAGATTCATCAGGTGAAGACTCTCTTAAAACCAGACTCAATGAGAAGTTCACTGCCGACTCAGCAAAGGTTCAAACATTTCTACTCTATTCTATTCTATTCTATTCTATTCTATTCTACTGTACTGGAGTTATTTTTCTACTCTATTCTGTTCAATTCTAGTCTATTCATTAAAAAATAATTAAAGTTCCTTTAAATCAGTCTTTATTACTTTATTTAATTTACAGTCAGTAAACAGTCAGTAAACAGTCAGTCAGTAAGAAGTAAGTAAACAGTCAGTTAGTTAACAGTCAGTAAACAGTCAGTCAGTAAACAGTCAGTCAGTTAACAGTCAGTAAACAGTCAGTCAGTAAACAGTCAGTCAGTAAACAGTCAGTCAGTTAACAATCAGTTGGTAAAAAATTAGTAAACAGTCAGTAAATAGTCAGTAAACAGTCAGTCAGTAAACAGTCAGTAAACAGTCAGTTAGTTAACAGTCAGTAAACAGTCAGTAAACAGTCAGTCAGTTAACAGTCAGTAAACAGTCAGTAAACAGTCAGTCAGTTAACAGTCAGTAAACAGTCAGTAAACAGTCAGTCAGTAAGAAGTAAGTAAACAGTCAGTTAGTTAACAGTCAGTAAACAGTCAGTCAGTAAACAGTCAGTAAACAGTCAGTAAGTAAACAGTCAGTAAACAGTCAGTTAGTTAACAGTCACTAAACAGTCAGTCGGTAAATAGTGTGCATACTCAGCATCTTTACATGAGGCTTTGGACGTCCATTTAAGAAAGGTCAAAGGTCAATGTATGGTCGTCTTTACTGACCTTTGTATAAAAACAGTCAAACAGAACCTGACAGGTGATCATGTGACCTGCAGGTGTCCTGTGATCCAATCAGCAGCACTCTTCAGAGGAAACAGGAAGAGGTGGCGGCCTCTGTGATCCAGAGAGCCTTCCGGAAACGTCTCCAGAAACACGGAGACGGAGAGGGGACTGAAGGTTCTGTGGGCGGAGCTAAAGGTGGTTCGGGTGTTTGACTCCGCCCATCCTGACGGGCCAGCTGACTTCCTGTACCATGAGAGCGCTGAGAGCACTGTCATTATCATCTGACTAACTAACCTCATTAACACTTTACCGGGTCAACATTATCATGATGGCCTCAGTGATAAACTCATCCTTACATCATCATCATTACGTCATCATTATTACATCATCATCATTACATCATCATCATTACATCATCATTACATCATCATTATTACATCATCATCCTTACATCATCATCATTATTACATCATCATCATTACATCATCATTATTACATCATCATCATTACGTCATCATTATTACATCATCATCATTACATCATCATTATTACATCATCATTATTACATCATCATCTTTATTACATCATCATTATTACATCATCATTTACTTTCACATATCTTTGACATAAGAAACCCTGATAACTCTGTCAGTATTACCTGTTCCTGTATTATTACGCCGATGATTACTGCATTTATCTTTGTAACATTATCATCAGCGCTCTAACAGCGTGAGGATTCTGAGATGAGACTCACTTTATTTCTAACATTATCCCGATACGGCGTACATATAACCTTTGAGCTAGCCAGCAGACATGCTAACATGTACTTTAGCAATTCTATAGTCTGAAAAATTAGCGTAGAGCTACGCTAATGTTAGCATGAATGTAAGAATATCGTGTTTACGAAGTTTTGCTGTAGAGTCGCTGAGTTTGTCATCAATTATTCTTTTAGTTCAAAATTAGCCTGAATGCTAACACGCTAAAGTTCATATTTACTTTTTAATGAAAAAATTTTCTGTTAAAATTTTTACTTTCTCGTTATTTTATCCACCGTAAAAACTCTAAACCTGAATCTAACTTTTTGTTAAAGTCTGTCCTTCATCGACGTGTTTCTCCAACATTGAACTTTTTTTACAGCATCTTTATACTTTTGTATTTTTATACTTTTGTATTTTTATACTTTTATGTTTTATGTTGAATTCTTTTATTAGAACAAACTGTCGTTATGCTAACACATTAGATTAATTAATAAATCGATACGCTCTGTACACCAAGTGTGGTTTGAACTTTTTTAACCTCTCGGCTTCAGGGGGCGGAGCCTCTGTTTGTCCAGTTACTGCAGGTGTATCTCCTGATGACCTCTGACCCCTGGCTGTGCCTTTAATCAATTTCATTCTGTCTTTTTTTTCTCTCTGCTCTGTTTTTGAGTCTCATTTCTTCGATCTTTAGTGTGATGACTGAACTTTGAGGTCATGTGACCCACTTGACGGGTCTGTAGTTTCTTTACTCGTCTGTGTCAGAGTTTTTTTTTTCTTTCTGGAGACGTAAAAAAACCCACAAACTTTGACTTTAACTTGAAACTTTTATTAAAAATGATTTTGGTCACGTTGAAAAGGTTAAAGCAGGAAGTAAAAAAAGTTGCATTCTCATGGTTAACACATTTATTGATAGATCAAACTAAATGAAACCTTTAAAAAACATTTCAACATTTTTAAAGACTGTCTGATGAACGCTCACTTTCAGGTCAGTCGTTGGTTTTTTAGTGTAAATTCATCAAATTTGATCAGAGTTTCAAACTGACGCAGAACAGACGTTGGTGTGAAAATAATAAACAATCATGAGAGTTTATTTTTAGTCTTTATCTCAGAGAAGCTCACTGTCAAAATGAGAAGTTGATGAACTCTCAAAAAATGATGATTCAGTATCTTTAAAAACAGTGAATCTTTGGTTTTTGTTCAGACTAAATAAAAGTTTTTAAAAAATAAAATATTTCATCTTTGGGTCTTTTTTTGTTGCAAAGACTGAAAAAAATATTTATGAAACAGGTGTCATGATTATTGATATACAGCGTGACCTTTGACCCTAGAACTCACAGGTGCTGTGACCGATGACACTAAAATACACAGGTACTGTAGACTGTGGTCTTGTGGCTGATCTCCTGAAGAAGAGTCTTGACCGCAGCCTCCAGCTCCACCAGCTGCTCCGCCTTCACCTCCAGAGAGCGCTGGTTCTCCTCATACGACTTCTCCAGGTCTGACCGAGAAAAGCAAACGGTGACGTCACACGGTGTTCATCGACAACAACCAAGACGACAACAACAACAACAACACAGAACAACATGTGACGCTGTTCAATGAAGACAACAACCACAAGAATGACAACAATGACAACAACAACATCAACAAAAACTAGAAACGCACTCGGAGAGCGCAGACCTCCGCCAAGCAGCTCACGGTATCCAGAATTTTGTCTGGATCAGGATCAACCTTTGACACCTCATAAAACTCACTGAGATCCTTCTGTGTCATTTTTTACCAAAGACCAAAGACTAAAGACCATTTTTAGAGAGTTAAATGCTAAAATTCCAAAATGTGCCCTATCTCACAATGATACAGAATCCTTCAAAAAATTCCTGGATCCAGAAGGCGATCCGGATCACCACCAAAATGTAACGGGATCCTCTTGGGGGTGAGACGCACCTCTGGTGAAAATTTTAGGTCAATCCGTAAAGTTGTTCACAAACAAACAAACAAACAAACAAACAAACAAACAAACAAACAAACAAACAAACCAACCCTACCGAAAACACAACCTCCTTGGCGGAGGTAACAACAAAGACAACAACCACAATAACAACAATGACAATAAGAATGATGACAACCGCATCACCACAGTGCACATTACACAACAACGGCAACCACAACAATGACAACAAAAATGACAAAGACAACAACCACAACAACAATCACAACAACAATCACAACAACACAGAACAACATGACACAGCATTCAACAAAGACAACAGCAGCAACAACCACAACAATGAAAATAACAACAACATTAACCACAACGAGACAACAACAACAACAACAACAACAACAACAACAACATTATGAGCGGGACACTAAAACAAAACCAATGATGTCACAATAACGTCGCCATGGTTTCACCTTTGAGCAGCTGTAGTTTGTCGCTGGCTTTGAGGAGAAGCTCTTTGGCCACCTTCTGCAGTGACTCCGCCCTCTTCTTAGCCTCGGCCACGCCCCCAGCCTTCTGACCAATCAGCTCCTCCACTGTAGAGTACCGATCCTTCAGCTCAGAGTTAAGTTCCTACTCACAAAAATACACACAAACACACATTCATAAAATATAAAGTGTTTATTTGGTTTGAACTACTGCAATATTTTATAAAATATATTTATATTAATATATATGTATCAGTATTATATATATATATATATATTAGATGTAAAGCAATAACTACACATAATTATATATAATGAAGAGGTATTTCTATAATCATGTCCTGTGTGATGGTCGTATTTTTCTTTATTATTTGATGGTGTTTCAGTGAACTCAGTGGTGACGGTCGTCACTGTCAGTGAACTTTTATTAACTCCATGAAACAGAGACTGACAGACCTCCTCTGTGATCCCTGAGATGATGATCACCTCACAGGTAAATTCACCTTTTTCACTTCCTCTGCCATCTTCTCGATGTCCTCAGCGTCCTGATTGGTCCGTTCGGTGCTCAGAGTGACGTTCAGAGCTTTGTCTCTCATCATGGCCACGTCTTTCTCCAGCCTCTGCAGCCTCTGAGTGGCATTATTAAGTCTCAGCTCTGCGTCTGCCGTCTCCGACTCCACCTGAACGCAGCACAGACACAGACGTTTTAAATGTGACGAAGATGATAAAATCAGCGTGATATCAGTGAAACTAACGTTAGATCAGCGAAACCAACAGGAAGTCATTAAGAATAATAAATGTCAATAAAGTTAGTGTAATGTTAACAGTGGATGTGATGATGGTTATGTAGTTATCATTAAAGATAATGTATATTAGACTCTGGGACCAGGACTTAGTACTGACTGAGGACAGCAGTTTGTTGGTGCTGTGGATGTCGGTGGCGGCCTGCTGGATGGCGTTACTTGCGGCGGTCTGAGCTCTCTCTGCTTCTTGTAGCGCCGCCTTTACAGCCTGTGCAGACTCTTTAACGTCGGCCGCCTCCTCACTGACAAAAACAAAGAGAGGTGAAGTCAAACGGTTCAGACTCTTGGTTCCTCCTGCAGACTCTGACTTTAAAAAAGGTTCTTCTACATTTTTTTCACTCTTTTTTTTTTCACTTCCTCTCTGATTCCTCTTTTATATCTTTACGTGATTTTCAGATCAGAAACATCCTCCTGTTTCTCACTGAGAAAGTTCAGACGAACCAGGAAGGAGAGTCTTGAATTTGAGTGAATCTCAGACCGTCGGAGATTTTTCCTCCTGGTTGAAACTCTGCAGACGTCTGGTTATTGTGGTCACCAGACTTTGTTACTTTACAGGTTTTTGTCGTAAATGCGTAAAAACATGACATCAGGATCCCCTGATCAGGAGCAGGACTCCTGCAGGACTGTCAGGTCTAGATGGACGGGGGGCGCTCACCTGGCTCGGCGGGCCTGCTCCAGCAGACTCTCTGCTCTCTGGATGTCGTCGGCGCTCTGCTGCAGGATGGTCTCCACATGACCCAGCTCTCCCACCTTCTGTCGGATCTCATTGGTCAGGTTCTGCATCTGAGCCGGCGTGGTCGGCATCTGCATGGCCAGGACCTCATTAGCAACCATCTCGATGCTCTCCAGGTCTGCAGCGTCCTCTGAAACAGGAATAACAGGTTCAGGCCCCACCTGAGTGGTCATGTGATCCATCCAAACATGAACAGGTGAACCTGAAATGTCTGAGCGCCGGTTTTTTAGATCTGACTGGGCTCAGGGCCTCTGCTGATCCACGTCACAGGACTTTGTGGACCCTGAACACTGCTGATGATTGTTCTTGGTCATCTGTTCAGGAAAGGTGAGACCTTCACAGGAAGTTCAGAGGGTGTGAGGAAACAGGAAGTGGACGTACGTGTGAGGAAGTCTCGGATCTGTTTGATGAGGTCTCTCAGCTCCTCGTTGCTCTGGTCCAGCTTCACTTTGGTTCTGTTGGTCTTCAGCAGGACGTCCTGAGCGCTCAGTTTCGCCTCATCTGCTCTCAGTTTGGCGTCCGACACCTGAAAAAAGTGACTCGGGTAAGTGGACCACCTCAAGCCGACCTGAACAAACTCCATGTCAGACCAGGACCTGTCTGACTCACCATCTTGGAGAGTTTCTCCACCTCCTCCATGGCTCCCAGTATCTTCTGTTCAGAGTCTTTGGCCTTGTCCCAGGCTCGACCTGCTGTGGTCACCACGCCGTCACAGTCCTCGCCGCCACACCTGGTGCCACCCTGAGAGTCCACACAGCCCAGACCTCCACAGGGAGAGGATCCACATGGTTCCTGACCTGATGAGGATCGACCACAGGTCTGAAAGAGTAAAACAGACAGACATGAAGACGCCTTCGGTAGACTGATGAACGAGAACATCACGGCCTCGTCTACAAAGTCCCTGATGAACATTTGACTCCGTGTCTGAACCCTGAACTGAAAAAGAGAAAGTGGAACCACAGACGGAACCACAGCTGGAACTACAGGGGGAACCACAGACCCACAGAACCTGCTCCACACACTTTACTAGACTTTGAACCAAAGCTGGACCTGCTAAACATGTGCTCTAGCCAGGAACCAAACCTTGTGGCTGATCTCTGATAGGTCCAGAGTCTGCAGCTCTCCTGCGAGGTCGTCGAGTCTTTGAGCATGCTCAGTGTGTCTCCTCAGAAACTCCTCCCTGGTTTGGTTTAGCTTGTCGTCGGTGAGTTTCCTCAGAGCTGCAGAGGTTTCCACGGGACTGTTGGGGTCACTGACCGAGGCGTTGGCCCGGACCTCGGCCGCCTGTGACTGCAGGAAGTACTTGGTGACACTGTCCGTCGCCCCTGGTGACAAAGAGGATGAACCAATCATGTAAGAGAGGTTGTAAAGTGAGGGAGCCTCAGATAATCGACCTGAAGAGGAAACTCTAACAGGTGAACCTGAACAGGATCTCTGAGATCAGGATCACTGAGATCAGGATCTCTGAGATCAGGATCACTGAGATCAGGATCACTGAGATCAGGATCTCTGAGAACAGGATCACTGAGATCAGGATCTCTGAGAACAGGATCTCTGAGATCAGGATCACTGAGAACAGGATCACTGAGATCAGGATCACTGAGATCAGGATCTCTGAGATCAGGATCACTGAGATCAGGATCACTGAGATCAGGATCTCTGAGATCAGGATCTCTGAGAACAGGATCACTGAGATCAGGATCACTGAGATCAGGATCTCTGAGATCAGGATCTCTGAGATCAGGATCACTGAGATCAGGATCACTGAGAACAGGATCACTGAGATCAGGATCACTGAGAACAGGATCACTGAGATCAGGATCTCTGAGATCAGGATCACTGAGATCAGGATCTCTGAGATCAGGATCTCTGAGATCAGGATCACTGAGATCAGGATCACTGAGAACAGGATCACTGAGATCAGGATCACTGAGAACAGGATCACTGAGATCAGGATCTCTGAGATCAGGATCACTGAGAACAGGATCTCTGAGATCAGGATCTCTTACAGAAGACCAGAAGGTCATAGAAATAACAGAATTATACTGAGAAGTTTGGGAACTAGAACAGCAAACAACAATCCAAGATTTCAAACACAGACACCGTTCAGATGGTCTCACACTGCCGGTCCGGGCCGGGGTGGGGGGGGTTAGACACTCTATAGTGACGGAGTGGAGGACAACCTTTTCTAGGGCGATCACGTCAATAGACGTTAAAACTCATCGATCCTTGTCAGAGATGGTATTACTGAGACCGGGTCTCTGATGAAGTCTGGATCAGTCTTAGACCTTAAACCTTCACAGGTAGACCAAACTTACCTCTAATGTCAGAGTTCTTGATGAACTCCACCTGGTCCAGCAGCTTCTTCACCATCTGCTCCAGTTTCTGAGAGTCCGCCATCACAGAGTCCACTTTGGTCTGTGCTGCCAAATCCGAGTCCTGAACCTGGACCAAGGTCTGCTCTGTGTCATTCATGGTCCGGCTCAGGGTGGCCATCAGGTCACTGAGGAGAAAACGCACAGTTATAATTATTATTATCATTATCACTGTTATCATTATCATTGTTATCATTATCATTGTTATCATTATCATTATAACTGTTATCATTATCACTGTTATCATTATCACTGTTATCATTATCATTATCACTGTTATCATTATCACTGTTATCATTATCATTATCACTGTTATCATTATCATTATCATTATCATTATCACTGTTATCATTATCACTGTTATCATTATCATTATCACTGTTATCATTATCACTGTTATCATTATCATTATCACTGTTATCATTATCACTGTTATCATTATCATTGTTATCATTATCACTGTTATCATTATCATTATCATTGTTATCATTATCACTGTTATTATTATCACTGTTATCATTATCATTATCATTGTTATCATTATCATTATCATTATCATTATCACTGTTATCATTATCATTATCATTGTTATCATTATCACTGTTATCATTATCACTGTTATCATTATCATTATCATTGTTATCATTATCATTATCATTATCACTGTTATCATTATCACTGTTATCATTATCACTGTTATCATTATCATTATCACTGTTATCATTATCATTATCACTGTTACCATTATCACTGTTATCATTATCATTATCACTGT